CCCCGAGAACGTTCCCCGTTTCTTGGGAGAGGCCCTCCGTTACCTTTTGCTCTGTGAAGGATTTAAATGTCCTCATTGGGAAAGGTCCCCACCCCTGGGAGAAGCAGAGGAGGGGAAGGCGTGGGGCAGGCAGAGGGAAGTCTCTGAAACCAGAGAGAAGGCAAACAAGCGGCGGCCGCCGAGTCAGCATTCCTCACCCACAGTTGGTCCTAATTAAGGAGGCTCGGGGCTCAGCTCCGCGTTCGGCTCTCTCCCTGCTCCGTCCCGCCAGCCGCAGCTCGGAAACAGCCTCTCACGTCTGCCCTGTCCCCTCACCTCTGCCTGCGCCCACCACCCTGCAATTACCCTTTCCCACACCGAGGCCCCAGGAAAACGTCGACGCTGCTAATCCAATCGCGTCCCACAAAGTGCCGCCCGAGCCGTTCCGTTCGCAGGCCGAGTAATCTCAGTCGAGAGGAGCAGGAAACCCGATTTCATCGTGCGGGAGCTGTGTGTCTCAGATCCTCCCGCCGCCGGGTCGGAGCGGCACTGACCGTCCCTTCCCCTCTGCTTGGCTCCTCCTTGGTCAGTTCACAGCTTCTACTGGGCCTCGCCGGGGGCCTGGGGTGTTTTCTTTCTGCCTTAACAACCGACGGTATCGTGGTCAAAGCACCGTGTTAGCAAATCTCTCAACTGAAAACCGGCCGTGGTCATGGAGGTGGTCAGTGTCCAGTGTAGCCCACTGGGGGTATTGATGTTTAAAGAACGAATAGGCTGATTTACATCACTTTACGGTTATATTCGTCGGCTCGGGCGGCTGTAACAAAATACCAAAGGAGTCGGGGCTTAAACCACAGGAAGCAATGTTCTCACAGTCCTGGGGCCTGGAGGTCCAAGATCTAGGTGCCGTCAGGGTCGGTTTCTGGTGAGACCCCCTCCTCCTGGCCTGTAGGCGGCTGCTTTCTGTCTGTGTCCTCATGTGGCCTCTGTCCCGCGCACACAGGGGAGCCAGCCCCTCTTTGGCATCTCACCCTCCTCTTAGAAGGACACCAGTTCTGTTAGATGAGGGCCCCACCCTGTGACCTCATTTAACCTCATTACCTCCCCGAAGGCCCGTCTCCAAATATAGCCGGACTACAGNTTAACCTCATTACCTCCCCGAAGGCCCGTCTCCAAATATAGCCGGACCATAGCGACCGTGGGGGCTCACGAACTCCAGCTCGTCACAGCTGCCACTTCTCTGACCAAAAGTTTCCCGGTTAGGACAGAAACGTGAGGCACGTCACAGTTTAGAAAGTAAGGTGGTGAAATGAATCACACGGTTTTATTTAACCCAATGTATTTAAAATAGTACTCTATTATGTAATATAAAGTTATTAATAAGGCAGATTGAATACTTTTTTTTTTTCATACTAAGTCTTTGAACTGTCTGGAAGAGAATTCCAGGAGAAAGCGAGGTTGATCCACTCAGTGGTAAATAATCAGAGAAACGTGGTCGCTGATTCACCAGACATATTCCAGACAGAAGGAGACGGACTCCGGCCCGAGTCTGACTCCTGAGGACCACACTGTGCTAGGGAAGCGGCAGGGGTTTTGCCGGTGTGGTCACAACTAGTCCAGCCTCCCCTCCGGCTTGCCCACACCCTGGGCCATTCACATGTGTGCAATGGCTGGACCTGGACCGTGGGGAGTGGACCGGGTGAGAGAAGCCTGGGAGGGTGACCAGGACTAGCCAAGAGCCGCGTCCGTGCCGGTGCCGTTCCCAGAGGGGAGGGCGTTCCCTACCCCGGGCCTTGCCATGTGCCTGGCCACGTGTCTGCACGGACACAAACAGAGCCGCGTTCAGTCGAGCTGGCCTCCGTACAGCCCTGTGTTCACCCTGCAGAGGAGATGGGTGCCCTGGGGTGTCCCCAAGACTGTGGCATTTGTGCCAGGAAGTGGACAAGACAAGAGGAGGAGTCATTGCCATTCTCACAGCCCTGGGTGGAGGCTTAAGGAATTCGCGCCAGAGGCTAATTTATTGAAAAGAATGATACAATGTTGCAATGCCCTGTCACCCCCACCCTAACAACAAGATGATGCATAAGTAACTAACTTAGAAAAGGAAACAGTTTGATATCTAAAGATACAAAGTTTCTAATTGAGCTCGGTTTCAGAAAGGAGTGAGCCCCGCCCAGGAGACCAGGAACACGGGGTGCGTTCATCCCGGGGGCTCAGCAGAAGGAGGGGGAAATACCGAATGTCACGCTAACTTTCGATGGCTGCACGCGGGCTGGCTATAAGGAGACTCGGTCGCAGCGCAGTGTGTACCCATTGCCCCTAATTTGCAATGAGGCCTTCACTGAGCACGCGCAGTGGCAACGAGCTGAGACTGAGGGCAGGGCCGACAGCTGAGCAAGACCAACTGAAAAACGGAAAGGAGACAGTCGTCAGAGAAATAATCAGAGAAAGTTTCCCAAAACCCAAGAGCATGCGCTTCAAGATTAAAAGGGCCAGCGAGGTGTCCGGCTCAGCGGGGAGGGATGGGCCCACACCGTTCAAAAAGTCTCCTGTATTTCTTCTGCATAAATGATCCCAGGGTGGAGTGAGCTGTATAAACAGAGAGGCAGCGAGCAATGATAGGTCTGAGTGGTTCTAGAAAAAATAAATCTTTTCCTGGCCCTGGTTCAGAAAATGTAGAAGTTTAGCAAAGGGAGGGAAACTACCCGGAGATCACGTCTAAAACGGAATAAAGACGTAGTGATTACAAGGAGCGGGAATTGGCTTGTATAATTAGCTCGGTCCTTGTCTTTGTCATGTATCTTTCTCTTGAGGAGATATAACATCTGCTGTTGCCAGAACAGACAGCGTCCTCCTTTTACAAAAGAGCATCGCCGAATTTCAGGGCAGCTTACATCGCACTTGGAGCTTCCTGCAAACCCAGGCCTAGCTCCCAGGCTTTCTCCTTTTGGCCGTTCTTCCGTCAATGTGAAAAATACCTATCTTGCCTCAGCCGCTCCAGCCGCTTACCTCTCTCTCCCCCCCCCCTGCAGCTGGGATGAGAGCAGCTCCATCAGCAGCGGGCTCAGCGATGCCTCTGACAACCTCAGCTCAGAGGAGTTCAACGCCAGCTCCTCGCTCAACTCCCTGCCGACGACGCCCACTGCATCCCGCAGGAACTCCACCATAGTGGTACGTGAGTTTGCAGACCCCCGGGGCCCGCGCCTGAAGGAGAGGCAGCCTGGGCCGCGCCTGGGGCAGGTGTGCACACAGCCTCACCCGCCCCGGGGCACTGGTTCCCAGATGCCCTGGCCAAGCCCTTTTGGAGGTGACAGGAAGAAACCCGGGGCTCCCAAGTCGTCACCTAAGATATCAGCTGCTGTAGTGAGCGGGGCCCGAAGGTAGTGTCCACACCGGTTCGGAGCTGTTCCAACTGGAGGTGAAAGAAATCAGAGATCCGTCGGGGGTCTGCTCTCTGACACCCTAGGTGTGGGTGGGTGAACACCCTGGGTTGACTTCAGCCTCTAGGAAGAGCAGGGCCACCCAGCGGCCAGGATGAGTCCCCCCGGCCGTCCACCCTCCGTCCCCTAATGAGCGTCCCGGGTGCTCACCGCCTTCTCCGCAGCTGCGCACGGACTCGGAGAAGCGCTCCCTGGCGGAGAGCGGGCTGAGCTGGTTCAGCGAGTCGGAGGAGAAGGCCCCGCGGAAGCTGGAGTACGATAGCGGGAGCCTGAAGCTGGAGTCCGGCGGCTCCAAGTGGCGGAGGGAGCGGCCCGAGAGCTGCGACGACGCGTCCAAGGTCGGGGAGCTGAAGAAGCCCATCAGCCTGGGCCACCCCGGGTCCCTGAAGAAGGGCAAGACCCCGCCCGTGGCCGTCACCTCTCCCATCACCCACACAGCCCAGAGTGCCCTCAAGGTCGCAGGTGAGCTGGGTGAGGTCAGGGTCCGGGCGAAGGCCTGTCCCTTCAGCCATCACAGGCCCAGGGGATGGCGGCCGACACACCTGCCTGTCGTAGCTCATTGCCGCTGGTCCTCCCAGCCGTCCCACGAGCTACACCCTCACGCAGGCGGGACGGACGGCTCAGAGAGGCCAAGCGGCTGAGCCACGGTCACACAGCTAAGAGCAGGGAGGGCCAGTGGGGATGTTCTGTCCAGAGACCAGTGGGACCTGCCCCCCCGTTTTTAATTCACCCAAGACGCTTGGTTGGCGTCATTCTCGCAGGGGACGTGCCACTCCCCAAGCCGGCCCATAGGGTAACTTTTCGCTTCGTCCGTGTTCCCCGCTCCTCTCCCATCACCGACAGACGTGGCCACCCTCTGTTTCCTTCCTGGACCGGCTGCTAGATTTTCCCTCCCTGAAAACCCCTGTGGTTGCCTCTGTCGTTTTAACCAAAATGGGGAGTTCTGCTCTGGAAACAGAAAACCCCTAGGCCACGCCGTCCGTCAAGAAATGTCACCGGTGCCCGGCCGGGCGTGGCTCAGCAGTTGAGCGTCGACCTAGGATCCAGGAGATCGGGGTTCGATTCCCGGTCGGGGAACAGGCCCGGGTTGTGGGCTCGATCGATGACTCTCATCATTGATGTTTCTGTCTCTCTCTCCCTCTCCTTTCCTCTCTCTAAATCAATAAAGATATATTAAAAAAAAAAGAAGAAGAAGAAGAAAGAAATGCCGTCGGCCTCCACAGGGGCCGCTTCCTGTGTGTGGGCCCCGAGATCCTGCGACCCGCCGGCACACCCCTTCTCTCTTGGGGGGAAAGAAAGGGGTGTCTGCCTTGTTGGCTGGTTCCTCCTACTCTCACCTCCTTTCCTGCCCCCTGCAGGCAAACCCGAAGGCAAGGCCACGGACAAGGGCAAGCTGGCGGTGAGGAACGCCGGGCTGCAGCGCTCCTCCTCGGATGCCGGCCGGGACCGCCTGGGCGACGCCAAGAAGCCGCCCTCGGGCATCGCCCGCCCCTCCACGTCGGGGTCTTTTGGCTACAAGAAGCCTCCGCCTGCCACGGGCACGGCCACGGTCATGCAGACGGGCGGCTCCGCCACGCTCAGCAAGATCCAGAAGTCCTCGGGCATCCCCGTGAAGCCCGTGAACGGGCGCAAGACCAGCCTGGACGTGTCCAACGGCCCGGAGCCTGGGTTCCTGGCCCCCGGGGCCCGTTCCAACATCCAGTACCGTAGCCTGCCCCGGCCGGCCAAGTCCAGCTCCATGAGCGTGACCGGAGGGCGGGGCGGGCCTCGCCCCGTGAGCAGCAGCATCGACCCCAGCCTGCTCGGCGCCAAGCAGCCGGGCCTCGCGCCCTCCAGGCTGAAGGAGCCTTCCAAGGTGGCCGGTGGGCGGGCCGCGCCCGCCCCTGTCAATCAGACTGACCGTGAGAAGGAGAAGGCCAAGGCCAAGGCGGTGGCCCTGGACGCAGACAACATCTCGCTGAAGAGCATCGGCTCCCCAGAGACGACGCCAAAGAACCAGGCGAGCCACGCGCCGGCCGCCAAGCTGGCAGAGCTGCCGCCAACCCCCGTCAGGTACCTGCCCGGGCAGCCTCCCCCGTGTGCCTGCCCTGATGGTGTCGTGGATCCCTGGGTGCCCCGGGCTCCTGAGGCCTGGCCNCCCCAGAGGAGGAGGCTGAGGACCTGGCCTGGAGCGGGAGCCCCCGAACCGGGCAGTTGGACAGGTGGGTGGACAGAGACAGTCGAGCCTGTGTCCCGGCTCCTGCAGCTGTTAGTAATACGTCCTAGGTTTGAGCGCCACTTTGTGAATTTTTTTTAACCTTCGTTAAGTAATTTCATTTGCTTCCCAATTCCATGAAACAGGACGTTTTTGGGTGGTTTTTGTTTTGTTTTGGTTTGTTTTGTTTTTTAAATAGGATTTTATTGATTTTAGAGAAAGAGGAAGGGAGAGAGAGAAACGTCAATGATGAGTCATTGATCGGCTGCCTCCTGCGCACCCCCCTGCTGGGGATCGAGGAGCCACAACCTGGGCACGTGCCCTGACCTGAAATCGAACCCGTGACCTCTTGGTGTACAGGTCGACGCTCAACCACTGAGCCACGCTGGCCGGGCTGGTTTTGAAATTTTTATCGGGAGGGAGACCTGGGACATCAGATGACTTAACCAAGGTTGCATGGCTGGCTGTCACCCTAAACCCTTGCTTCCTGGGATGTCATTTCTATGACATCATGTCCTGGTTTCATCGACCAGAACGTGACCTTCTCGATAGCTCCCACACCCTGATTCCTAATCGGAGGAAAACATGTAGCATTTCAGAGAAATTCCTGGAGCCCGGGGCCCAGAGGCCGCGCCCGTCTCCCTTGGTGGCGATAGCGGGGCCTGCAGCCTGGCCTTCTGTGTTCAGATGGTGCGTCCCTCAAACCTAGGGCCCGGACTAGTTCCTCGGATGGGCCCACACGCTTCTCTTGTTTTTCCTCCGCAGTAACCAGGGGGATCGGAACACGCTGCCCAAGAAAGGGCTCAGGTAACCCTGACTCGTG